TCTTGCCGTAGCTCCTCGATCGATGGAAGGCAATGGGAGAAAATCTCCGCTGTGATTTCGCCAGGTAATGTCAACACAGGAAAAATTGAGGTGGCGTGAAGTTGGTGTTCTACATCTCCCCGCTCCCGTTGAAGATCATCTAGAGCTCGCTGCTGTTCAACGATGACCGCGTCGAGCTCTGCGAGACGTCTGCGGAGAGCGGCGGTGGACTCGGACATGATGACAAGCGGCGAAGGCTTGTGTGACGCTGTGAGTCACGGCCCGACTCTCTTTCTTGCCCCCATGCCCATCGTCCAAATGGGCAGTCATCACGACGATCTCCGTAAAATTGTCGCTGATACAGCTCCCGAGATAATTCACTACCAATCGCTCCTGCAAAAACTGCTCGCAAAACGAGACAGCGCCCAGCTAGAACTCGATTCTATCGTTTATCCAGTTTTAACGTTACCCCCCGAAATCACGGCCAAAATATTTCACGACTGCCTCCCAACGTCGTACACAGACCGGGAAAGGAATGGGTCGAACCCTCAGGAAGCCCCGATCCTCCTGTCCCATGTTTGTAGGATGTGGAGAGAAATCACCATCGGCACACCTGCACTGTGGACCACAATGGATCTCGAAATCTGCGATGTAGAATCTGCTGACATATTCAAGACGTGGCTCAGTCGTACGGGTGCATTGCCGCTCTCTGTCAAGCTCGATTTTGAGCTCGATGAAGACGCCATCGGTGGCATCTTTGAAGTGTTCGCCGAACATTCGCACAAAATGCAATCGATAGAGCTGGAAATATACATTGAGCAGCTCCAGGCCCTGGAGAAAGTTGGTGACCACTGTAGCTTCCCTTTGCTCCAGATGTTGAGCATACATTTCTTCGACGCCGATGACTACGATTTGGTGGATGACTCGGAGATACCCTGCATCGAAATCTTCAGCAATTCCCCTCTTTTGTGCGAGGTATCGCTCAACGAAGCCCCACCCTCATTCATATCTCTTCCGTGGCATCAGCTGTCAAAATTCACGGGTAAACTCTACTCAATCGCCGACTGCCTTCAGATGTTGCGTCTCATGGCGAATCTCGCGGAATGCGCCTTTGCAGCTCATGATGAAACTCAAGGCCCCACTCCTCATGAATTAACACATTCCAACCTACGGTCACTTACGCTCTTTGAAGCCACATCGGACGCGGGCGACACCGATGGGGGCGACTCCGCATGCAGCATAACCATCCTGGACTACCTTTCATTGCCGTCCCTACAAACACTGCAAATTCTTGATTCTGAAGCAACTGAGTTCGATGAAGAGGTCGTCACTGGGTTCCTCTCCCGGTCTTCGTCGCCCCTCCGAAAATGCACTATCCGCTTAAACGATTACTTTGATTATGGCGTCATGTCGTTATTGCAGATGCCCGAACTTGTGGACCTCGAGATATGGGACCCATCCCCGTCGTTTCTCGCCGATTTCTTTAATCATATCGACCAGTGGGACCCCAGTTTCATCCCGCGACTTCAACATCTTGCTTTCTTGGGCTGCGAGGATCATACAATGTCAGGACTATCCCATAAGCTGGCATTAATGCAGGCGAGCGTGGTCGTCAGATCTGGATGGTTCGTTCAGCATCACGCCGAGTTCGCTAAATTGGAATCCTTTCGCCTTACAAGCGACAGCGGTTTTGGCAATTGGGCAAATGGCGCTCTTCTCCCGTTCCAGAAGTTGGCAGCAAAAGGGCTAGATATTCGTATAGAAGGAAAACCGATATTGGACTGGTTACAACGGCAGGAGGAGGAGGAGGAGGAGTGTAGGCCGCCTCTTGTTCTGTCTCTCTTTTCCTGACATTTATTGTTTCGACAGAAACCTGAATCAATCGAATTTTCGACGCGCCCGCGACTACAATTCGTCCCTGTCAATACTTTCTTGGAATCGAGCGGACACCAAGAGCCAGAATTCGTCTAACATTCACCTTCTTGAGCCAATGGCTCGCACGAAGCTTGCGCGATCGACAAACGGGTGGTGGGACATCATGCATCCTGTTTTGGGCTGGTCATTACGGTGGTCGTCAGACTCGGAGCGCGTAAATAGCGCAAGTCAATAGACAGAGTATCTACTCTCATTACACAATACAATGCCAGTGCACGGACGTTACAAAATGAGTTCAAAATAGTGCCAAAAATACAGATATGCAAGATACGTTCAGATTTCTACGATTCATCGGCCATGGCGTCTTCCAGCTCTTCCACGCTCAGCACGACCTTCCTGTCGTCCTTCTGCTCCGCCTCCGCACTCTTTCCTTTGCTCTTCTCCTCGAACTTGCGTTTCGGGATGACGGCGTGGAACGCGGACTCCCAGTCGCGGGTGTCGACCCAGTGGACGAGGATCTCGAATGCCTGGTTCACGGTGAGGACCTTGCGCGTGCGCAGCTCCGAGAGGTATGTCCCGATCGGCAAACGCGCGGTGCGGATCCCCGATGCCTCCGCCTTGTTCAGACACTCATTCTATGTGAGTTGAGCCAAGGATCAAGCCATATGAGCAGAGGTAGTTACCTTGAGGCGGTTGTGGTCACAAATGCCGCCGATGACGTACGTCTCGTCAGGCTTGAGCTCTGTGAGCTCGTCGTCCGAGTCGGCGGTGAGGTAGACGACCGTCTGCTTGACGGCGGGGTCCTCTGTCCATAGGCGCTCGTAGCCCTCCGACCACCACTCGCAGTTGATCCAGCGCTTGTACCCCGCGTCGTTCATGCTCTCGAGCCGTGTCAGGGCCTGGCCGTTGAGCGATGTGAAGAGGAGCGAGAACGGATGCTCCGCGGTTCGATTTGCGCTGTATGTATACGCCAGCTGAGAGCACAGGGACTGGATCTCCTGCAAATTTCTCGTATCTTGAGGTTGAGGAGAGCTTGAGGATAGATAGGCACACCTTTTCCGTCATCTTCTCATCGAATCCGAGATCGACGACAACCCTGCCCCCGAACCGCGGGCCAACCCTGCGCTTCTTCGGCGGCGGCTTGTCGTCCTCGACCAGCTCTCCCGCGGCGCGCTTCTCCGCCTTGATTCGGTTCTTCTCTTTTTTCGCGAGCTTCTCCTTTGCGCGCCGTTCGAGCTTTTGGACCGCGAATTTTTCGCGTCTTGCGGCCTTCTTGAGGGAGCTTTTGGAGGGCTGCGCGACTTCGACTTGGTCGGGTTCCGGGGCTGTAGACGGGATCTGCTCCACGCTGTCCGGCTCGACGCTGTCCATAGCGCCGGCAGGCTGATGAATGTAATGAAGAAACCGAGTTTGGCCTCTGGAATTGATGCCGCGCATCCATCTTCGTTCTATTCTCTTCACATTCACTCGTGTCGCTGCCACCGTCGTCGTCGGCATCGCTGCAGTTGTATACCTCAACGCATATCCGGAAAAGCACTCCAGAATGGCGGCAATCGCACCTCTGAAGTTTATCGCTGTCCCTGCACTCAGCAAGCACACCGCGACTGTAATATTCGTGCACGTAAGTCGGGCAACGCCCTAGTCGTTGTTTCGGCTGGGTAACCTTCTGGAAGGGTCTGGGGGACACGGGCAACGGATGGAAGCCCGTCGCAGACATGTTCAAGAGGGACTTGCCCCATGTAAAATGGGTGCTGCCTCACAGGCGCGTTGCGTCCTCTTCTATTAGGGCCTCGTTATTCACTTCCATTCAGCCCAGCGATGCCCGTGACGGCCAACGGAGGGATGGTGATGCCGTCTTGGTATGCAGCTTAGGCTGGTCCGATTCATAAAGCTAATAACTTTCCGCAGGTTTGATATCCTCTCGTTCGGGTTCGACTCGGAGGAGGACCAGCCCGGGATGCTCAAGACCTCGCACTCGCTCAACCAGCTCATTACGGCCGAAGTGGACGCGGGCATCCCCGCCAACCGAATCGTCCTCGGCGGCTTCTCCCAGGGCGGCGCGATGTCACTGCTCACCGGCCTCACGGCGGAGCGCAAGCTCGCGGGCCTCGCTATCCTCAGCGGGTGGCTCCCCCTACGAGCGAGTTTAAAATCTGTGCGTCTCCTTCGTCCTGCTCTTCCTGCAGAATGGCTTAACAATGTGCGAACTCAGATGGCCTCGGAACACGCTACATCCATCCCAATCTTCTGGGGCCACGGCACCGCCGACCCCCTTGTCAAGTTCGACCTGGCGGAGCGCTCGGTAGACTTCTTGAAGAAGAACATCGGCATCCCGGAGGCGCCGTCCACCGGGGAACTTAAAGGGCTCTCGTTCAATGCGTACAGAGGTGTCGGGCACTCCACGAATGAGAAGGAACTCGACGATCTCAAGGCGTTCTTAAACAAAGCACTGCCGGCATCGGAGTGAAGCTGTACGACTCGTAACATATAATGTAATTGTACGTGGCACAATAGACCCGCTTGGATGGATTGGGGACAGTGGGGACCGCCGTCCAAGTATCGCCACGGCGCCGGAACAGCTCAACAGAGTTGAAAAATCTGACCGCCATGTGAAAGACTCGGAGTTTCATTTTTTTTACGGCGAATTCGAGCTCGGAATATTTGTTGCGCCCATGTAGCTGTCCGAGCTCAACCAGCCATCGCAAATGGATGGGACAGATAATGCCTGTTGGCTAACCTCGCATTTTAATTCCGTAATCCTCCCATCAACCCCTTCGCCTGGTCCTATATCGGGGTGACAATCTGACGCTTTGACCGACTGCGCCTTTGTGCAGCACATCGTATTTAGCTGTTAAATGAGTGAGATGTAAAATGAGGGGTCGCTTCCAACCCCAAAAAGGGTCGTTTTAGCCTCAAAAGATTGCTCTAAAAGATTGCTCTAAAATTTTCAAATCACAGTTACGAACACCGACTCCCGAGTCCTGCACATTTTACGCCAAAAATCACGAACAAAGAAAAAAGAAGGGAAAAAAACATAGTGTGTGAAACCCAGCCTTTGCGCCCGAGAGTGTAACTGTAGTTTCGTCGCGAGCGCTCAACTTCTAGTGACAAGGGGTTTAATCCCGCCCCGGGCCCGGCTCGGATGTGACCACCACAGGGGATCGAACCCCGAGGCTCCCACCGCTGAAATTCATCATTGGCGGGTGATCTAACCACTGTACCATAGTGGCCACAAAAGACACCATATTCTCGCTTAATGTGTTCGTATTTCCTGGTATGCCGAATGACGAACACTTCGTTTCCGGCACCATGAAGCAGACATTGCAGGCTGTAAGTGTGCGGCTTACAGCCTGCCCTCTGCTCCTTTGAATTACTTCGGACCCCATGCTATACATATTTTGGTTTTCGTCTTTGTTTTTTGTATTTCATCGGCCCTCTTCAACATTAAGTGGGTGAGAGTATCCAAAACAGAGAGAGACGTACAAATTTGCATGTTGGAACGCGAATCCAGGCGAACACAGGCAACATCTGGCAACACACACGGCTATATACGCCGTACGGTTCACGGCAATGATCAGACTTCGACATCAATATCTTAATGAAAAGCGTCTGATTTCCCCGTGGGGGATTGTCGACGCGCTAGTGGCTGTGCACGCGGCCAATCCCAGTCTAGGCGGTCCCTTCCCCACCATGGCGATACACAAATTCGTCAAGAAGGCCATATTCGCCGCCATCGCCAGCCCTCGCCACTGGGTCCCAGAGTTTCCTATGCTCACGGGGGAGGAATGGGACCCGCTCCACGAGGATCCACAGCTACCTGGTTATTCCTCCCCCCGCGAGGACCTTCTCTTCATCGGCAAAAAGATGCTTGATACTGGGGTCGCAGTTGCACTTTTTGAAGAGCTCGCTGGGAAGCCTTCGGGCTTCGGCAAGGTGCGAAACTCACGCCGCATACTAAAGCTTGCCATCGAAATTTGACGCTCATGCAACTCGCTCAGTGCGTCACCTCGTGCATAATCGCCGACGACATCCTCAAGAGCGTTATGGAGAAAATAGAGCCGCGGATTATCCACAATGTCGATACGGTCTCTGAGGGTTTCGAAGCGTTCCTTGGCGCTGTCTGGCTGAAGTCGGGCAAGGACACTACTCTCGTCACGGAATGGGTCGTCTCTCTGATCCAACCGCTGGCGAGGGCCGCGTCGCCGGCATACGTCGAATAGTAGGTCCATTGCTTTTCTCATTGGCTGAAAGGTAGTACTGAAATAAGTTGCAGCGTACGGTCGCAGCCTCCGCGTCCAGACACCAGGGGCCAGTCGAACTTGAAGCCAAAGAAAGCAGGAATGAAGCAGACGAAACCCCCCCAAAAGCCCCCCCGGCTGTCATCCGGTACATCCAATACTATCTCATCCTACTATACTTGCAGCTGATCGGCGTCTCCAAACAGCCTCGCAGCTGCTAAAAAATTTAGAGCGACTGCAAAGGAACGGCTACGCGCCGCCGAGAAGTCCACCCACAGGCTCCAGCCCGCACGCGACGCCGTCTCCGCCCCTCAGTGGGTACCCATTCCTGTTTTCACCGACGGTACCGTGCCCTGCAAACGATCTCGCTCCCCTTCTAACTACGTCCCCGCTTAAGTCGATGCTGGCCGGCTGGGGCCAGCCCGAGTGGCATAGTCATCGGTCTCGGGAAATTGACCCCGTACGTCCCCTCCACTCCAGTCTAGCACCCATTTAATCGCATCAACACAGATATTATCTGAGACTGTGTACTCGGCCACCTTAGCACTTTTGACGTCGGGCCCGTACATAGCGTGAAGAGGATATATGTCTGTGAGCTCTGGGACGATGGTATGCATCCTCAGAGTAAGCTTACATTTTTCCCCAGAATTTAGATGATGATTTCATGGCTTGCGGAATTTATTTTGTGGCCGTACCCAAAAATAGCCAGAAACAGGCTACTCGGCCACCCCCTTAAATTGTTAGTTGGCAGACATACTAGTCACCCCAATGCATACCAAATAGTTAAGGGGGTATAAGTACATTATTCTGTAAAGACCAACTGTACACCTGAGAAATATGGGGACCATAATTATTTCCCTGTGCCGGCTTCGGAGGTGGCTGAAATGACGCTGTTGACTGAATGGCTTGCCGTACAAGGCACAGACCGCAAGGACACCTTGAATTACGGCCTAGATGACTCCATAGGATGTATATGAACATATCAAATCGCAGAAGATGTGTTCCACATACCCTTAACCCATCCAAAAAAATCCACCTTTATGCCCGACTGAAATTTGGCAGTGTTCGGTAGAAGCCGGCGGTGCCCTGGACGTTGGGCAGTTAAAGGTTTATGGTAATGGGAGGACCTATGGGTGACAGTCCTCAGTACAATGACCAAGTTCTATGTCCGTAGAATGTACGGATGGTTCGCTATACCGGTGGGGAGATTGTGCCACCTGGGGTTGGCTGGTGGTCTTCTTCGAGGGTTATGGATATGATAGAGAGAACTTGTCGTGCATGAAGTAGCGCAGCATCGTCCGGGTGAACATAGGGATCAAAAAGAGCCCCCAAACTTGTGAATTGGTGAGGAATTGGTGGAGAAACATGCGAAAAACAAGTGCGAAGGCGAAGAAATGATGGTGACACGCCGGTATCTTGATTGAAAACCTCCCACAGTTTTTTGATCGCCGAACTTCCATGCCTCCAAATTTGACATACTGAATGCCCATAGGTCCTAATAGATCCCTCAAGCACGAAAACCCAGGATTCTGCGACACAAGACCTTCTATTAAGCAAGTGGCCGACTACCTAGTGTGGCCGGGAAGGCAGTCGCAGATAATATATGACTTTGGATCGACGGTATGTAGCCTTTCACACTCCGAGCCGTGCCACATTCACAGCGTTCACCCAGAACCCATTCGCCGCGCCGTCGTTTCAAGCGAGCGGTATTGAGTACGAGCTGGCGCGGTGGCCTCCAGCGCAGGCGGTACGTCGATTCTCCGCACGCGACGTAGGAACCCGTTCTCTTTTATATGACAAATAGCCCGCCCCCAGTCCCCAAGTCGACGGTCTGCGCAGGCCCGTTGCCGCCCCCGCCGGTTGGCATGCCTCAACCTCGCAGGTATGTAGCTGTCCGTGCACGTGCATCTCAGACACTTTCCAAATTACTTACACCATTCGCAGCTCCGTCTGCCAAGCGTGCCTCCTTCGCCGAGCCTCATCTCGCTCCTAGAATGGCCTCACGTCGCCGTGGCAGCTGGAACGGCTCCCGAGGCGAGTCTCCGCACATTCCTGAAGATCTAAAAAGTTTCTTACTTTCGCAGACGTTTGCAGGACATCGTGTGGTACCTAGTCATTTTTCATATGTCCACTCCTGCTCACGACATTCCCCATTTCTAGGCCTTCAGCCCCGAGGCCGCAGGCTATGTCGGCGCAGGGATCGGCGGGTCGCTGTTGCCCGCTCCAGAGGTGCGTTGACTTCTGCGTCGTGCCTTACTGTCCGTCCTTACAACTTTCGGCCAGATCTACCTCCCGGCTGGCGCGGGTGCGGGCGTGATGGCAGATGGCGGGAACGTCGCACCCTACGAGGTAATCATCCCCATACCGCAGATCTTCCAGGCGCTGAAATATTCCAGCTACATTCCACTCCCGGCGGGTCGAGGGTACCTCCTCCCTCACCATGCCTAGCATGGGTCTGACTGACACATTTTTGTTAGAGCTACCTGTCGACGGGCGCGGGAACGATCCGAGACGGGAACGGCGTCGAGGTAATCATCCCACTCGGCCCATGTTCCAGGCGCTGACATATTCCCGCTCCAGTCCTCCCCGGGTCATTCTTGGGTACGTCGTCGCCCACCGTACTGGCGCTGGTACTGACTCCCCCCCCCGCTTCTAGTTGGCGAGCTCTGGACTGCGCGCCCCTCTTACCCCTCGCAACGTGGGTGGTAGACTGACCGGTAACTCGTCTCCAAAGACTCCTACGCCGGCGGCGCGTTGATGTAATTGTTTTCCGTTTTCTTCTTCCGATCGCCATCTTACCTTGTATCCTCCGCTGCGTCTCGTAGGTAATTTTCGTGGTTTGATTCTCTATTTTATTCTTTATTTGGATCCGATGGTAATATAGATTTTGTCCGGAATCGCCGTATATATAGTCGGAATTGTGTTTTATTAGCTTGTATTTCCGGAACTGTCAGATGTAATGAGGAAGATGACCTGTATTATAATTGTGTCCACTGCCAGTATAGTTTGTGCAATCACATCCGTTTTCTACTATGAATAAGGAACTCGAAGCCGTATGGAATGAAAAGCAATTTAAGAGATAATGTGGGCAGGGTTGTGACGACGAAACGGTGGACGAAACTGTTTGAACCAACGAGGGATAAGCTACGGCGAGTAGGCTCAGAAGCGACCAAAGCCACTTACCTTGGTGAAACCGCTCGCGCGCTCAAGGCACGAACACAAACTCGTATGCAGGGTCACCCGGAATGTACTGAATATGTTTAACATAGGTTTTTTCAGCAGTTCCGATGTGAATATCGATTCCCTGGCTCGCGAATCGAGGAAGATGACCGATTGCTTCATCCTGTTCAGTGCCAGTGCCGAAGTCGTCCGAGAATATGTCTTGGAGGAAGGCTCCAGGCCGAGAGATGAGCCGGAAGGACCGAAATTTTGCGAGTGTGGGAGTGGTGGATCGTCTGTGCAAGAAGTCGGCCAGCTCATCGTACTCCGCGACCACGGTGCCGACGAGATGCAGGGTTCGGAGCCGGGGAAGAGGGTTGTGAGGGGAAGATTGTGAACCAAGGTTGAAGAGTCCGTACTGAAATGCCGAGTCTGGGGAGTGAAGCTCGAGATTTTGAAGCGTAGCGGCTACACTACGAAAACATTGATCCCATTTAAAGAATTCATCGCCTTCCACGCAAGCACAGATGGTGCGCAGCGGGGGTGATGACCGAACCAGAAAGTCGGCAAGTGACTCTGTGGGATCCTCCGAGTCCCAAGTGCTGGCGGAGATGTGCAGGAATTCAAGAGCGGGTAGAGTCAGGTGCGGAAATATGTCAGAGGTCGTGAAGCTGTATTGCGATTTGGAGAGAGTCAGAGACTGCAGACGTGGATGAAGTATGGCGGAAATAGGGACACTAGCCAACTCTGCCACGATACATTCGACTTCGACCAGGTTGGGAGCCACCATGAATAGGTCCAAGTTGTTTATCTCGCCTTCGAATCTCGTCAAT